GGGAGGCAGTGGAAGACAGGAGGGCCTGGTGTGCTCTGGTCCGTGGGGTCACCAAGAGTCGGACACGACTAAACGACTAAACAACAGCAACACCTAGATATGCCAGCAGGAACATCTCAAGTCTGGCATCAGCGTGTGGCACCTTAGAGCAGAAGCCAGGCAGGGCTCAGGGCCTGCGCTATCATTTGTCAGTGAAGCAGTGCCTCAGGTAGTTGATTTTGGAAGGGAAGAGATGCTTACAGGATTTTCTGCTTGAACTGGCTAACTTTGAGTGCTACGTACCTTGAACTGAGTGGGCCGGAGGTGCAGTGCTCTTCTGCCTTGGGCAGCAGCATAGAGCTCCAGTATCCTGTCACAATCGACTTTGGTACCCATGCCCACCCTGGGTGGCTGAGTATGAGTCACCAGTCACTGCTAGATCACTCGGATTGGGAGTTTAGATTCTCACTGCGATAGGGGTTGGACTTCATAATCCACAGAGTCCCTTCCAGCTCTCCAGTTCTACGATAAGGATAATCCCACAATGTATGTCCTATGTAATTTTGTCCCAGTGAATTGTGGGAAATTGCTCAGGTCGAATTCTGGTACCCTGCCTACTGCTTCTGCATAAAAGGGGGTCATCAGCAAGCATGCCACCCAGGATCTACTGAGCTTCAATACCTACCTTGGACCTTCTGCATGAAATATGGGCTCCACTATTAAACTATAATCAATTGGGCAACCAGACTTTTTTCTGCTTTAAAGTGGCTCGCCAAGTCCATAGTCTTACTGAACATCAACTGAGATCCACTTACAGAGCTTTTTGGGGGTGTGTGTGTCTTTCCAGATGTGTACAGCAACTTTAAAAGTCTTTGGTAGAGGCTTTTGATGGCTCGGTGTTCTGATTTTATCAAATGTATTTTCAAACTGCATTTCAGCCCAGTATTGCTTCAGTAAGATAATAACTGTACAACTGGTGGCCCAACATCATATATTTCAGTGGCAAACTACTGCTAGTTAATTGTCAGTGTTTACATTTTCTGCCATGTGCCAAATCATATGAGAAGCAATACCACTGCCAACCTCTTAATCACCAGCACTTCCTCCACTGCGATTTACACCCCTGCATTTAAGCAAAATAGGACTCTGGTTGGTTTGTTCAATTGGTCTTTAGCATTATTAATTTTGATCTGTTTTTATTTGCACAGTGGGGTGGGGACAGCTTATTTGCTGGGATGAAACATCCAGTTGCCTGAGGCATGGTTTCAGCTCCAAAAAGTTGTTTGTCTTAAGTGAGGCCAAGGGACAAGGAACCGGATGGGAAAAGAAACAGAGGCAACGCTGGTGTAATCTAGGGCGTCTGGTGACAGACTGCTACATCATTGGGAAAAGAAACAGAGGCAACGCTGGTGTAATCTAGGGCGTCTGGTGGCAGACTGCTACATCATTTAGCTGCATCACTGAATCTTACGAGTATCTAACTGTTCTGCGACAAATGAGAACCTGCTCTTGAGTAGAGTTTGGAAAGGAACAGTGGGAAGACGTAACAGTCTCCACAGATGTCCACATTTGCACTAAACTACAGAAAACAGGCAAATGGGTACCATGGCCTGCAATTAGATGGTATGCTGTAGTATAGCAAGGATGAGCAGATCCAAACGTCCAGAAAACACGCATGACCATCCATTTTCTTACATTTTCCTTGATTATACAACAACAACAACAACAACAACAACTACTACTACTACTACTACTACTACTACTACTACTACTACTACTACTACTACTACTGTTGTTGTTGTTGTTGTTGTTGTTGTTGTTGTTGTTGTTGTTGTTATTATTATTATTTGGGGTGGGAGAGCCAAAGAGTGCTGGGGCTCCAACATGATATTGCATAATAAAAAAAGGTTGGGGACGGCTGTCCTAGAGGACAAATGGGTATTTTTGGAATCACTGCCCCCCCTCAAAAATTTTTAAATGAGTCACTGAATTAACTACAATCATCATCATTTTAGATCTGCAGAGTTAGAAATCGAATCCAGTCCTTGAAAAGAGGTAAAATTCCTTTCACTCTAAGGACCAGAAACTCTTCTTTTAAACTTGCCCTTTTATGTAAGAGCTCCCTCTCATTAATTAGGGAAAATATGCCACTATGGTTTACATGGATTTCACTTACGCACACATAAATCACCAGTAGGATTCCAGAACAATGTGGAGTTAAATATATTGTGTATTCTAGATAACACTTCACGGGTCTGAAACAATGTGGAGTTAAATATATTGTGTATTCCACCTCATGGGTCTGACAGGCATTGACTGAAGTTTGCAAAAGCTTGTGCTGTCATACACTGGTTAGTCTTTAAAGTGGCACAAAACAGGCCAACGTGCATACTACTGTACTACAGAAATAAATACTCGGCACAAAACAGGCCAACGTGCATACTACTACAGAAATAAATACTGTATCCTGTTGCATCCGCAAACCTCTTAACAGTGGCCACCCTAAAAATGGATCCAGTTAAAAAACAAACAGTAAAGTCCACCAAGTGCTGGATGCACCACGCGGCAAGACAACGAGCAAGCTGCAGCCTCACTTTGCCACCACTTCTGCCTTTCCTGCCTTCTCGCCTCTTCCTCGTCTTCACCCCCACCCAAGCCCACATGAAGTCGCTCCTTTGTTTGCTCTCGCAATTTGCCGGACTGATTCCTATCGGCTGGCCACGTCAACACCCATTTCACACTCCTTCCTGCCTGACAAAATCCAGGTGATTTGGGCTAATTAATGGAGTTAAGCACATGGTCAGCCTCAACCAGGGAGGCGCCATCCTGCCAGGTCCTGCTGTGCCAAGCAGGGAGAGGTGCCACCTGTCAAGGAAGCTCACACCGAAGGAGAAGCTTTGTAAGACTTCAATTCTATACGCTTTGACGCTCAGGGCTTGTCCACACTGTGAAATTTGGTGCAATCCGGCTGCTGCTTAAAAGGTCCTTATCGTTAGTGCAAACTGCTTTAACTCTTGGTACCCATCTGCAAAGGCAAAACAATGAGCTATTTTGCATCTCAATGAATTGGCCTCAAAATATTACATATTCTAGTTGCCAGGTCCTGCTGTGCCAAGCAGGGAGAGGTGCCACCTGTCAAGGAAGCTCACACCGAAGGAGAAGCTTTGTAAGACTTCAATTCTATACGCTTTGACGCTCAGGGCTTGTCCACACTGTGAAATTTGGTGCAATCCGGCTGCTGCTTAAAAGGTCCTTATCGTTAGTGCAAACTGCTTTAACTCTTGGTACCC